AGGCGACTTCTGAAACTGGCATTTTTAGTAGCTTTCACTGGTACAAATGGCTGAAGACAAGGCAGGATTCAAATCTATCCTCAGTTCAAGTGAGCTTTCCTGGGGATTTAGGGTAGTATCCTTACTGACAATATACATTCATTTGGATGCCATCCTGCTGATAGAATACAGAAGTACTGAATTACCCTTCTTCCACTACTTGACAACGCTCTCAAATTAGACTAATTTGTTTTTGTACACTTAAAAAAAACCCAAAATATTCTTCTGTCGGCTACTTACCTCAAAGTATCAATGAAATAAGACATGGTCAATAAATGTATGATGCAGTAAACTCTATTTCAGAGGGAGTGATAGGTAAAAAAGGCAGTGCTGAAACAATGTGAGGTTAAATTTTCTGAAACAGTAAGCCTTGGCTTCCCTATCTACAAAGGTAAATATCATTCAATGTAATCCAAAATGGGGGGGGGGAAATCCTCAGTCTTGTATAATGTAAAATATTCCCTTGTCGGTATTTTAAAATGTAAACTAGAAGTTCCAGTATTTATTAATATAACCACCAAATAAGGTACTTCTGTGGGAGTCTTTTATTAGTCCATTCCCAAAAAAGCAAATAGAGGTGCTCTAGTAAGAGGGCCTCCCAATCAACCAGAACTCGAAGGGCCTCTTTCAACCACACCTGTACAAAGCAATGAAGTTAACAGTCATGCTGCATAACAGATCTCAAGCAAGTCTCTAACTCTAAATGCTAATTATTGTGCCCAGACTGTATTGCACAGTAATATATGAAGTTGAAATGGAATAAGTTGTCATGTTGAAGAGGGTCACCACTGTCTTTTGCCTCTGACTTTACTTTGAAAGCTATGTCAAGTACTTCCTCACCATAGAGATTTCAGATTATTCATTGAGGTGGGGAGAAACCATACATCTCTCATGCTAGTTGTTGTGAGCTACTGTAACTTCTTGGTCTATAATCTATCTATAGTCCTTTCCAAATTAAACTGGGAAAGGCATTTTGATTTAAGTTTGTGGCGTGACAGAGACTTGTACTAAGAAATGTCTCTGTACACGGTGAAGTTTGTGTCACTAGATTGATGCAAATGACGGAAAGCAAAACTGCTGCTGTTTCTCAATGGAAAACCTATCTGGGAAACTAATTGCCTGCTGGCCTAACTTCTAAAATGCCTTTTGAGGCCCTAAATTGCATAGCATTACTACTATTACATGACTATGTAACGCTGCCATGGCACTCTGCATTTTCAAAATATTATACAAGTATTGACTATCACAATGCCCTTGTGAGGGGTAACTACAGCAGTATATTCCCTATTTCATAGAGTGGAAAGGAGATACAAGTGATACACCCAAGTGCACACAGTTAGAGCTAGGAGCTCCAAAGAGTTTCAGTTGGTTTCTAGGTACAATTCAAGGTCTCTAAAGCCTTTATGTATTTGGTCCTGTACATCTGTGGCCTTGTCTACATTTTCTCCTTCTGAAGCTTGTTGCCACTTGTGTTTACAATGGTGTGAGTGTTGACAGACAGGCTGCCAGCAAAGTTCTTATCCCATAGGGTTAGATGGTGCTGTTTAAAAAGCCAGTGGCAGGTCTTAATCAGCTTTCCCACCATTATTACCACCAAGAAACTTTTAAGCAGAAAACTAGTGTAGCTGCACCCCCGAGGCAATCTTTTCTGCATGCTTTACCCTGACACTTTAGGACATCTAGGACAGTGTTTTTCAAAATTTGCGTCGCGACCCAGTACTGGGTTGCAGCATGTAAGGCATGTTAAAAGTCCCGTCGGCGGTGCTGCCCAGCTAAGGCAGGCTAGTGCCTACCTGTTCTGACACCGCACTGTACCCCGGAAGCAGCCAGCAGCGGGTCCGGCTTCTAGGCAGGGGGGCCACGGTGCTCCGTGCGCTGCCCCCGTCCCGAGTACCAGCTTCACACTCACATTGGACAGGAACCAGCCAATGGGAGCTAGGGGAGAGGGCAGTGCCTGTGGGTGAGAGCCATGCAGAGCCGCTTGTGCACCTCCGCCTAGGAGCCGTACCTCCTGATGGCCACTTCAGGCGCAGCGCAGTGCCAAGACAGGCGGGAAGCCTGTCTCTGCACCCTGGCTACGTCGCTGACCAGGAGCCGCTGGAGGTAACCCCCTGCTCCAATCCCCTGCCCCAGTCCGAAGCCCCCTCCTGCACCCCAAACCCTTCAGTCCTAGCTCCACCCTAGAGCCTGCACCCCTGCCCTAGCCCAGAGCCCCCTCCCACACCCTGCAGGCCTCACCCCCACACCCCAAACCCCTCATCCCCAGCTCCGTTGGGTCACAGACATCAACAGTTTTCTTCAACTGGGTCCCCAGAAGACCTGCACATGAGCAGGTGTTCTCATTAAAGGTCCTTTAACTCTGGAATTTGCTTCTTCCAAGTTCCAAAAACTAGGTTTTCTGCAAATCACATCTGCTGCAGGCTTTTGGTGGAGTTGAGAGGATTTAGACTTTGTAGGTTGGCTTTTCATGGAGTTTAATAATATGTTTGTATCTTTCACATTTAAGTGTTAATGTGCCTAGAGAAATGATATACACATTATATGTAAACTGTTACTTGTGGTGAGGAGTGAGGGAGATTCCCTGACATTAAGCATTGATATAACGTTCACGCACACTTAGTAACTGTATTTGATATTCTAGATTGCCAGTCCTGGAGGCAAAATAAAAGCAGCTGCACTAAAATTTGAAGCATGACATAAATATTTGTCCCTATTCCTAGTGCAACTCTCTGCCTTTAGGCGCTAAATGGAAACATTTTTCTAGCCCTTTGGCTTAAGCTTAAATAGTAGATTTTTCTACTTCCTGTACACCTCAATATATTTATAAGACTCTACCACACATACTTTGTAAGCTGCTGTTGCATTTTGGGAAGGGAATCATTATAAAATAGTTCACTGTCATAAGACAACATCTTTATAGATATACCTTATATCTTGCCATTAATTTAATTTTTGTGTATTTAAAAAAAAAAAAAGACATGATTTGGATCTTCATGAAAACATGCCATCTGTGATCAGGAGAATCCAAGTGAATTACAAGAGCAAAAGAGGTGTGTCTGCAGCTTCGTGGATGGAAAATACTAGCTAAAAATCTCCATTAAAACCTCTCAATCATTCAGAGGTAGGCATTATTTAGCTAATGCAGAAAAGTCATGCAATATAGGAAGCTCAGACAAAATAATCTTTTCCAGCATAACCCTGTAGTGTACTTAAAATACTGAGACTGTTCTTACATGGAAACTGCAGAGTTCCATATCTTTCTCAGTTATCAAGTAGCCCTACTAGGATCTGGTACTAAACATTCAGTTTACATAGCAAAACTTTAATTTAAAGATGCAAGAGAACATAAAATGACGCTAATTATTCTTTGTGTGATCTCTTAAGGAGTTATTACTTCTACAAAGGTAGCTATTTCCTGTTTGAAACCTTGAGTAGAAAGAGTATTGTCTTGAGGCAAGCTAAAACCCGCCAGCATATTTCACAGGTATTGCTGTCTTGTGTAGATGATGACATTTTATGTGTGCGTATATATATAAATGCTAAAAGAACATTTAGACTGCAAAAGTGAGCACTCAAGTTAGGAAATGCCAGAATTACGGTTGCCCGTACAACCTTTTATTTGGCCACCTTGTACATATGCATTATGGTATAGTTTAATTACATGATGATAGTATATTTTTCTACAGGACCCTTTTCTCTTTTAGTGGGCAGGAACTGATTTATGGAGAGGCATCTCTGTTAATTGCACTGAGGAAAGAGAAACCTGGGGGACATATTTATAAAGCTGATCCTAGTCTGTTCAGAGAGCTCACAGTACATTGCATTGTGCACAAGGACTGCAATAAGAATCTTCCTCACCAAAGGATTTGGGAAAGCTAGGCATTCTGAGGCTTGTGCACCCCAGAAGAATCCGTTCCTTGGAGGAAGCTGTATTCTCGCTGACGTTGGATCACCTTCCTCTGGATTAACCAGTACTTTGGGGCTGTTCTCTGTAGAGAGAAAGGAAGGAGGTAGGGAATATTAATACATATCGTATTCCTGAGGAAGCCTCATTAATGATTTCATTCAAGTGTCTCATTTCACTGACGAGGAGGTGAGGTTTTAAATTTCCAGAATATTGAATCAAACCTCATTAGACCTCTGGTAGGTTTTGAAGTGCCTAAGTGATTTAGGAGCATAAATCCCACTCTTTCAGTGGGATGTACTTCTAAGACTTAAGAACTTCTGGAAACCATTTCCCTTTCCCCCGTGGTTTCTGGAGAAGGGAAAGGGAAAAACAAATGTTGCAAAAACTTCCAATACTCTTCCAATAAAATGTGCAGAAAAGTTAGAATTGCATTCAAAGTACAGAAATTTTGGGAGTCATAAGGCTAGACTGGTGTTCCAATATAGAGGTGCAGAAATGTTTCCATAGCTTGTAAAACCAGCATTCTCAAAGGGCTAGTCTACACTGGCAATGCTAAAGCGCTGCCGCGGCAGCATTTTAATGTGGCTTGTGTGGTCGCGGCAGAGCGCTGGGAGAGAGCTCTCCCAGTGCTCTTAAAAAAACAAACCACCACCTCCATGAGGGGCGTAGCTACCACTGTCTACACTGGCACTTTACATCACTGAAACTTGCTGCGCTCAGGAGGGTGTTTTTTCACACTTCTGAGCGAGAAAGTTGCAGTGCTGTAAATTGCCAGTGTAGACAAGCCCAAAGTTGCTGCACTCAACTGTCAGCCTTTCTTAGCATGTAACAAAATCTGTTAAGATAAGTGAAAGTGTTAAGTTCAGATTCTCCAACTTGTTCACACTCTTTAGAAAATTGAAAGCTGTACTCATTGGTTCTATCTAGTAAGAAAACTTTCTTGCTCCAGGGTGTGCTGCCTCCTGCTTTGTAATCTTTGTGGCGCATGATCTGATAGTTTCATTTCCAACTCGGCTTCCCTTCCCTGCTGCGTGCCAAAGAGTATGGAATAAACATGAACTTCTTGTTTGTTCTTAGGTACAATGGCTCCCTCCCTAATGGTGACAGAGGACGTAGGAAAAGCAGGTTTGCTCTCTATAAGCGACCTAAGGCTAATGGAGTCAAACCCAGCACTGTTCATGTGATATCAACGCCCCAAGCATCCAAGGTATGTGGCAGTTGGAGAGAGAGTATCTGCTTCCTGATAATCTTGGCTGAAGATAAAACTTACTTTTTTGGGTGGTGTGCTTGTTTTCTTTTTTTGCCTTGCTGCCATCATTTCGGTTATGTTAGTGTTTAGACTTGAAATGAACTAGCCTGATTAAAAGTCCTACAGTGGCTTCTCTTTCTAGTGATACTCTTAGTTGTAATTTAAACGTGAACACTAATTTTGAGCTGAGTAGTTGTTTTCACAACAGATTAATTCATATCTGACCCTGTTGCTTCCATACAAATGGTGTAATTTATCAGTGATAAATCTTCATTTTTGCTATATGAAGCACAGAATAAGAGACTGTAACTACCTGTGATGCATACGAATATTTCCCTTATTTTAGTAACCTGTAATATAATAATTAACAGTAGGATGTAAAAAAAAAAAAAAGTTTGACTGACACCTCTTCCGAAAGAGAGTTGCCAATTTATTATGCAGAAATTGTTCTTTCTAGGTCTCTAATCTCTCGATTTATTAATGGCTCTGCATATGTGTGCATGTGCATCCAGTGATGTGGGATTTTTTTCTTCAAGTCCATCATAGGTTATGGGAGGGAAGCATGGGTAGCATGAACTTCCTGGTCAAACAAAGTTGACTCTCCTTGGTGGAAAGTTTTGTACTAGTTAGGAAGATGTACTTTCTTGTATAATGTGGGTAAGATTTATTTTTTAAAGAGCCTCTTTTCTTGCACTATTTCAAACGATGGTTGAGAAATCCTAAAACATGGGCAAGGTACATCCCACAGTGAACTGACTAGTTTTTGTTCTTTGTAATGAATGGTAGACTATATAAATTTTATTCAAAGTAACAAATCTTGATGTCTAGACAAGAATCAAAGACAAAGCTGTGCTCCATGAATTTTGAACTTGGACTTGTTTAATTCAGGAAATTTCAATATTATAGACATTCAGCTGCTTATTATTCTTTGTTCAGAGGTCATCTATGGCAATCGTGTGATGGGTTTTGATTGTGTAACTTCTGTTTAAGTACGTTGGAAGAAAATATGGAAGCTTCCACAGCTTTCTTGAACAAATTGAAGCTAAATGATAAAGTCAAGCAGTGAAGAAGTATATAAGAGCTTACACAAAGTACAAAAGTCTCCATCCTGAAAAGAAACTGGGTAGGTGTATTGGTGGCCATACAAGAAGCCTATCTTGAAAAGATAACAGAATTAAATGGAGAGATGAAGGATGATCAGAACTCTTGCTAATCAAGGGGATGGTCTGTGGTCACACAATAAACTTTGTGGCAAAGGTGAAGATAGTGCAAATATATATATATATTTTTTGCTAGATGTAAGGAGACTATGCTGAAAAATGCCGTTATTTGGTTTAAGGGAGTTAATAAAATTCTTAACATCAAAATAATGAGGCACATAGGCACCAACTTTTCCCTGCGCCGGTGGGTGCTTGAGCCCCCCCACCTCTTCTCCGAGCCTGCCGCGTTCCCCCTCCTCCCTCCCAGCTCTTGCTGTGCGAAACAGCTGTTTTGTGGTGCAAGCGCTGGGAGTCAGGGGGAAAAGCGGAGACGCGGCACGCTCAGGGGAGGAGGCGGAGCGGAAGTGGAGGTGAGCTGGGGTGGGGCGCTGCCAGTGGGTGCAGAGCACCCACCAATTTTTCCCCGTGGGTGCTCCAGCCCCGGAGCACCCACGCAGTCGGTGCCTATGATGAGGCGTCAGAGGGGACTTAGAAGCTATCCTGATTTAAAGATTGGAGAGGCAGAACAGGAATCCGTGTAGGATGAGGAAATGTGAAGAGAACATTGGTAGACCAAATTCCAGAGAACAGGACAAAACTTGTCAATGCGCTTAATGTGTATTACAAGCACACCTGAAGAGATGATTAATAGAAGTGGGGGAACTTAATGGGGACAGGTAAACCTGAATAGTGAACAATCAGTCTTACAGGGCTGAAGTGGACTTGTCTTAAGAAAAACAATCAATGCAGAAAAGGCTTCTAGCATGTGGAAGAACATGTTGAAGATGAGCGGTCCAGTTATCTAAGATATATTCAGTATGTTTAAAAAGTCTTAAGTGTTCATATTTGGTTTAGTCAGTAGATGAACAGAATTGAGATTTAAGAAGAAAAAACTGAGTGCCTTTTCCTGCCTTCTTGGTTTTTAAGCCTTTAGAGTATACTTGGGTCACAACCTATGTTTCACAACTATGAGTATTAGAAAGAAAGAGAAATAAAAAGCTAAGATTCTGTGTCATGGTTCAGGATGGACTGTATCTTTGACCTGCCTCTCTTCTCTCTCCTCCTGCCCTATTGGAGCCCTTTTACAAGTAACACTTTGTATAGGTCCAACACCTGCACTTTTGAGTGAAATCCCATGATTCAACCCACTTTTGAACTGGATCTCTAGGTTATAGTACCTCTGTTTACCAACTGTCACCATGCCTCCATGGGTCACAACTGACCATACCAAATTCAGGACAAGCTGCTGGGAAAAAGGGCAGAGACACCCCACAACTGGTGGTTATTCTTCCTTGAGAGATACCAAACCAGCAACAAAAGTAAACTTCTGTCTCACCACACTGGCTAACAAGAAGTCAGAAATGTAGCCTCCTTAAGTATTCCAGACATGGATTCAACACCCAGACACTAGACTTAATGATGAGTGGTTATTTAAAACAAATTTCATCAAACAAAAGGGTTCTTCTGATCCCAAAGGACCAGCCACATACCCAGGTCAATATATAACTCAGATCTTACCCAATAATCACGCTATTGCCAATCCTTGAGTATCTAATATCTAAAGGCTTATTTATAAAAAGAAAGGTGAGAGTTAAAATTGGCTAAAGGAATCAAATACGTACAGTAATTGCAAAGTTCTTGGTTCAGGCTTGTAGCAGTGATGGAATAAACTGCTGGGTTGTTAAGGCTCTGGTTGCTTCCAAATCATTGGAAGGTCTTCAGTCCTTTGCTTAGAATGTTCCCATTAGTATAAGTTCATAGTCCAGAGGTTTGAACAGGAAAGAGGCAAAATGGAGATGTTTCCAGGGCCTTCTGCCAAGTGAAGGGAATCCCATTGTTCTTACTTTGAAAAATTACAGGGGACAAGTTGGTGTTTGGGGTCACATGGGCAAGTCACATGTCCATGCATGCTTCACTTAGTCATAGTAGAGGCCATCACAGGAAAGTCCATTAAGTGTAGATAGGCGTCTCCCATAGTCCATTGTGAGTTAAGAGTTCCTTGATAGGCCATTTAACTTGAATAGTCCTTAAATGTGCAGGCTAAATGCCTTGTGGGTGTTACCACAGGAGCAAATATTTGAAAAATAGATACATAGTTAATTTTCATAACTTCAAATACAAAAATGATACATGTATACAAATAGCACAATCATATTCAGCAAACCGTAATTCTTCCATAGACATCTTACATGCCACACTTTGTACAAGATTTGTTGCAATTATATAACAGTGGTAGCAAAAATAATTTACATCGTCATATTTTAATCAGATAGCGTTGCACCAACCATGTCTGCTTAGCAGGCCCAACTGGATTTGGTGATTGCCAGTGATTTCCCCTAGGATCAGTAGGAGAATCCAGTGACGCCAAACAGCTTCTTGAAAACCAAGTATTTGTTTATCTATAGGAACATAGAAATTGGTGACAAGGGTTAAAATAACAAAGCATGCTTTAAATATTTTGCAGTTGGGGGTTGCTCAACTTATGCCATGCACGCTCCCACAGCTGGAGATCTGACTTCCATCTGCCTTTCTGCAGACCTTTCTTGGCTGCTTTTGTAACATTTTCTAAATACTCTGTTTAAGATTTCATGCCTGAAGGCTCTGTCCTAAGCTAGGAGGTGGTTGTCCGCTACATGTACAGATGAAACAGAACCTGTACTGTCAGCTTAAGAAAGTGCTTCAATATCTACAGCCATTAAGTCTGGCTCCTGCAGATATGCAAAACCCACCTAGGACTGAGTTAACTCTTTGCAGCCCTGTGGCAGACAGCATGATCGTAATCAAATAGACAGAGGTACACATTAATTTTATGAATATTATAAAGATATCTCCCCTGTTCTTCACGCTCACATATTCGTGGGACACTAGGAGCTGGGGCTTTAAGAAAAATACCAAATCTTGCTAATTCTTGCAACTTTTATGGCAACACTGTTCTTGTGAGATTGGGCTGAATTTAAGAAATGGATGCAGTCATCTAACCTGATAGCTCTCAACCTTCAGGGTGGCCTTCCATTCAGCAGGGAAGCAAAATCTCCCTGAGGAGGGATGCAGCAGTTCCAGCTGCATGTGATCACTGCTGTCACCCAGCCAGCAACACAAGTGGTGAAAAAAACAAAGGGTGTCCTTGTTCTCACACCCATTCCTTTCCCTTTCCCACTTGCTGATTGGTCTTCATGAGACTAACGGACAGGGTGGGTGTAGAAATTGAGGGTCCAGCAGGGGCAACTCTTGCTGCCTCATAAAGCTGAGATGAGCGTTTTTTAAAGATCCATTTTTTTTCTCAGTATGCTTTAAAATTCACAAGCATACCCAGATTTGTCTTGAAACTTGTGGTGGATTCTCATGGCCTGTAGTAGGGTTAATGGTGCAAATTTACGGACAAGGTTCTTGTGTGAATATGTGCAGAGATGGAGGGTGTGACGTTCCCCTGGTGTTATCTGGACCAGTGATCTGCTAGGTCACTCCAATCCTCGACTCTGGGAGCTAGCTTTACTGTGCTGTGAGAACCCCCACTCTGGGGCTGTTCATGCACAGCCTCTAGCACAGGGGTGTGCAAACTTTTTGGCCCAAGGGCCACATCTGAGTATGGAAATTGTATGGCGGGCCATGAATCCTCACGAAATTGGGGGTTGGGGTGTGGGAGGAGGTGAGGGCTCTGGCTGGGGTGCGGGCTCTGGGGTGGGGCCAGAAATGAGGAGTTCAGGGTACGGGACCAAGTTCGGAGGGCAGGAGGGGAATCAGGGCTGGGGTAGGGGGTTG